CCCCCCCCAAGTGCCAGCACCACGATGTCCCCTGACGCCGTGTACCCCCCCCAGGACAGGTACAGAGCCGGCAGTGCATCGAGGACGTCATCAAGTTCGCCTTCGAGGAGAAGCTCTTCCTCATGGCTGACGAGGTGAGCGGGACCCACGGGGTGCCCCCCCATCCCCAGGGGGACCCCGGCATCCAGGTTGACACCCCACCACCCCTCCCCGCGCCCAGGTGTACCAGGACAACGTCTACGCCGAGGGCTCAGCTTTCCACTCCTTCAAGAAGGTGCTGTTCGAGATGGGGCCACCCTACTCCGAGGTGGTGGAGCTGGCCTCCTTCCACTCCATCTCCAAGGGCTTCATGGGCGAGTGAGTCCCACCACCCGGCTCATCCCGGCCACTGTCACCCCAGGGGCGGGTGGACGTGGTTCCGCAGGTCCTAGGGATGCCACAGACCTGGGATAGGGATGGAGGTGACTTGGCCCGTGTGTCCAAGGGTAGGGATGGAGATGCCACCAGCTCGTGGACGCCATGGGTTCGGGATGGGTGTGCCACCACCCCATGGTTCCCCAGGGTGGAGATGGTGATGCCACAGCCCGGTGGGTCCCGGGAGGGCAGACGGTGATGCCATGGCCCCGTGGGTCCTCGGCATGGGGATGGGGACGCTCCAACCCTACGGATCCCTTGGGGTGGAGGTGATGCTGCCACGACCCCGTGGGGACAATGTGACACAGCTCTGTGGGTCTCAGAGGATGTAGATGCCACAGCCTGGTGAATCCTTGTCTCTGGGTTCCCATCATGGACCTCCTCCATTTGTGGGTCCCTCTGTAGGTTCTTCTCCATGGGTTGTCATCACAGACCCCCATCCGTGGGTCCCTCTCTGTAGGTTGCTGTCTGTGGGTCCCCACCCGTGGGTCCCCATCCAGGGCTCCTCCTCCATCGGTCACCATCCATTGCTCCCTATCCACGGGTCCCAACTCATGGGTGCTCACCTGTGGGTCCTTTCCGGGGGGTCTCCATCCATGAGCTCCCGCTCACGTGTCCCCGCGTCCCCCACCCTGTGGGTCGCGGTTGGTGTCGCCACGGGCCGTGTCGTGCCAGGTGCGGGTTCCGCAGCGGGTACGTGGAGGTGGTGAACATGGACCCCGAGGTGCAGCAGCAGTTGGCCAAGCTGGTGTCTGTGCGGCTGTGCCCACCCGTGCCCGGGCAGATCGTCCTGGATGCCGTCGTTGACCCACCGCAGCCTGGGGATCCTTCATATGAGCTCTTCATCACTGTGAGGGATGGGGTGGGGATGGGATGGGGATGGAGATGGGGTTGGGGATCGGATGGGGATGGAGATGGGGTTGGGGAT